TATTTACATGCCAATATTTCACAGCAAAACTTCATGTGTGCGATTACTTATTTTGATTAATTAATAACAGAGCATGTAATTATTTTAAGTCTGTTTTATCTTACTATTTTTTTTTCTCTTACCATTTTTTTGCGGCAGTAAAATGTATCTAGTGGACTGAAAATCAAGTAATTATGATATTCTAGGTTACCCAAAGTTTAATTTATGATGACCAGATATTGCCACACAAAAACATTGCGATACTATGTTGTAAATAGTTTTTCACTCACCCCTTATATTTACTGTAATTGATATCTACAGAGACAGTACTATGCTACATTATCAGGGGATGTAAACATGCAACGGACAAACACAGAATACACAAGCAACACATACGTAAGAAACAATAAGCCACAATGAAAGACATGCTTGGAGGAACATAGGTCAGCCTGGACACAGTGGTTAGTTGATCAGTAGCAGCTGTATCAGTTGTGTTAACTGTCAAGGATACAGAGGCATCAGTTGTATGAGGAAAGAGTAATAATGATTTAAAATATGGCATAGAAGTCAGTAAAAGTATATTAATATTGTGTTACTATTATGTCTTTTTTGTGATATTAACAGCATTGCAAGACAAATTTATATAATTAATAATTCTATCAGCTACTTTACATTCTGTATGTAATATTTCACTGCTGAGAAAACCCACCAGTGATTAATGTGAGTGGACAGAGGCTGGAGGATCAACTGAAGGAAGATGGATTCCAAAGTTTCAGTGGAGAAAACAGGTCAGCCGGTGTTAATGTGCGTGAACTTTTGACCTGCATGAAGTGGAGCTACTGTTTCAACAAAAGACTGACAAAACTTATCCTGCTGTTATTTAATTTGAGCCTTGTAGATAACATTATGCTGCCTTCCTTCACTTTTATGAATTTTTTTGGATAACTTCAAAAACAATAAAGCAAATTGGGTTGCTGAGTGAGGAGACGGCAAAAGATGAATCTATGATAATTTACTTTTACTGCGGGAGGAGCTGTTAGAGGTGGAGATCTAATTAGGTTTCTTTTATTTATTTAATTGCACAGAAATCTCTCCTTCTAAAGTGCTGTCTGCTTTGTCACAACAGAAAGAGGCTTATGGTTTTTCTTTCAGGGCTGTTTGCGTCACGTCTTTACACCGCCTCTGACCTCATTTCTGCCCACAGCAAACCTCCATTTAATAAGAGCAAGCGATTGCTCCGTGCACATGAGAAACAAGATGGCGGCGTACAGTACCTTGCATTACGCTCATCTCGTGCATCGCTTCTTTCTTTTAGAGAAAGGCTGAGCCTCCTTGAAGTTTCTGTCAGAGCTGTGCTGCCTTGATTTTACATTTTCAATCCACGTTACAGGACATTTCCCAATCAGACTTTAACTATTCCACCACAGAGAGGGATAAGAATAAACAAAATCAAGTCCGGCTGTCAATAACATGAAATCATTTCACAAAAACGCACTTCAACTGTGCGTCCCTCTCCTGTGTTTGCTGCGCTGTGTCTTTTTTGAGTGCTATTTCAAGCCCTCGCTCTCTGTGCGGCGGGGCTCATAATATCAGATTGCACAGCCGGTCTTGGCCAAATGTGAATTTTATACTCTAGTGACCACAGGCTTTACACTTTCATTAGCTCACATTCTCCTCAGCAGTGCAAATGCCATGTCGCTGGTGAGGAAGGGGGGGCTCGCTGAGTGAGCCTGATAGAGTAGAGGATTGGAGGGCGGGATGAGAAAAAAAGAGCTTCCGGAAAGCACAGTTCGCCCTGAGGCATGGGCCAACATCCCAGCCACTCTGAAGGAAAACATAAAATAAAAATGTGCCCCATCAAGCGCATATTGCTGACATCCAAACTTGGGAAGAGCACAGAAACAAACTGAATTCAAGCTTTATTTTAGTAATTATTTTCAGATAATATTGTAATGATTATCTATTTGACACCATTTTACCCTTAGTTACACAGCTTGCCTCACTAATCTGCCTTTTGACGAATATTATTTTCCCAGGTTTTTCAAACTAAACAATGCAATTTTTGCATTAATGAGCTGCCTCATTAAGAAGAACTGTGCCCTCCTGAGCAGCACTGGTCATTGAGCCGGGGATGAGATATGATATGAAGCAGGCTCTTAACAGTGTTGTCTTCTTTGTTTATCTTTAAAGTGGTTTTCTTCCTCTCACTTCTGACTCCATTGTATTCAGTAAGAGAAAATGAGTCAACAAGAGAAGCACACATGTGCGGATCGGCCAATGGAGGGGGGCCAAGGAGGAACGAAAATCGTTTGTGTCAGTGCTCCCCCTGAGAGATGAAAGCAAATGCTGGCTGTGTCTTAAGCTATTAGGGTAAGGAGTGGTGTTTGGCCTAACCCCCCCACTTCTCTCCGCCAGACATGGACGGACAGAAAATACTGCCTCTCTCGAAGCTGCCCTTCTCACTTGAGAGAATTAACTTTCACTCGGGCTCTCTGAAACCGCAATGCTACGTATTTGTGTGACTTTTGCCCCACTGTTTCCAATTATCTCCTCACAAGGCTGTGGCGGCAAGAGCTGATCTAACGAGACGGTGCCATCTCCGTGGGCTCTGCTGGGCAGGTGGGTGACAGCATAGAGTTGTCATCTTCTTGTCAACACTTGTCTCCTGCACACTCCCATTTTGAAACAAACCCTCGAGTTCGGTGGAACAGGTCCGTGAAGACAGCACAGAAGACAAGGAAAAGCATGACACGCAGGAGGCGGTTTGAAGTCTGTGGCCACCGGGGGCGAGGCAGATACAAGCCACTTCCTTTTTTAAGGTTTGTATCTGAGTTTTTTTGTCCGTGTGGTATAGAGGAGCGGGTTCATGCGGAGGGCAGTGATTAGAGATTTGAATGGAGTTAAAATGGAAACATCTTCAGGGCACATTCTGACCTGTCAGCCTCATTTTCCTCAAGTGGATCCGATGAGTGCGGCTGTGCCATCCCTCCCAACGCACATCCCTCCTTCTTTTCCTTCAGCTCCTTCTCTATTTCCATGTCCCTTTCTCTATGCTAGCCCTGCTATGCTAGCCCTGCCAGGTCAGCTTTGGCATACAGAGACAAGCCCCCCCCTCTCGCCACAGCACACACATACACACACACTGTCCATTGTCAGCAGCACCGAAAGCAGATTTGCTCTTTAAACTAATGGCCCGTTATGTGAAACAGACCTGATTACTGCCTGACAGAAGGAATTAAGGCCGTCCAGGGCCAAACAAGTGCGCCAGCATCCATGACCTGGCACAACCACTTAGGCTGAATTTTATTTATACTGTACGCAGTAAACATGCATTTGATATATTCAGGAAGCAGAAAAAAATATTGAAGTGCTTACAATGTACTTGACTTTGGTGGTGTGTCATATTGATTTGACTTTTTCTAAGGGATTGCTAGTAATTTATCAGATTAGGTACGTGAAAGACGGACATTGATTTTCTAATAAAATTCAGGCCATGAAACATTAAAATCTGTATTTATAGTTCTGTAATAGCCGAGGATAGAGTGTATTTGCTCATTCAAAAGCCAACCTTGTTTATCTATAAACACGAGCTCAGAGGACATCTTTAGGGTTTGCTTTAGCAATAAATGAACTGAATGGAAATGTGATCTCCATTTTCAGTCTTCAAAGTCAACTTTCAAGTTTGTCAAGTCACACAGCTTTTGACTGACAGGCAGGTTAAGTTGTGAAAGCGGTAGACATGCTCATATACATATATACATATATATGTATATATATATATATATATGTATATATATATATACATATATACAGAATATATTGTATATACAGCTTCATATATTGGTTTGTATGGTGATTCAGAATTGTATCAGCTAGTAAGAATAAGCTTTTCTTCGATGCAGTTGCTTTGAATTTGTCTTCTGTTATATTTGTTAAAAATTACTTGAATATCCCTCTAACTCTCTGGCACTGTAGTTAACTTTGTTGTAGAGGGCACAGAATGCTCTTATTTTCCACGTATGTCGGAGGCAAATATTCAAACAAAAGGCCATCTTCTTTCCAAATTACCTGAACATTAATTTTATACAGTAGTTATTAGCAGGACCGCTCATCTTACTTGAAAACTGTGCTGCAATTTGACTGAAAAACGCAAGTAATGTAAACGTAAATGTAACAGGCTATGAAATGCCCCACACAATAAACAGCATTTTAATATTATTTGCTTTATAAAATACTGCAATATATAAGATGATTTATTTATTTATTTATTTATTTATTTATTTATTTATTTTTGTATCTTCGTGATTAGTAGTAGCAGTGATTTTTATTCCGAACATGCAAATGATATATAATGTATATATGAACAAATAAAACAGAAATAATAATACAAAAATGGACAATCAAGACAATTTTAGAAAAGAAAACATTTAATCTGATTGCAGAATCAATGAATATAGATGATAAGTAATGGAAGTGAAAATGACTGTGTGGCCAAGAGCTGTTAAATCACTTTGATAGTCATAGATCAGTTGGCCACACACTGAATATATAAAACCATCAATTATATGATGAAACACACTTTTCAGTTTTTACAGTTTACACTAAATATAAAAGACTGAGTGCAGCACATGTAAACACAGAGTAACACTGGCACATTAGGGCCACTGTAGGTAAAACAAATACATAAATACAGAGCTGGAGAAAAAACTTAAGATTGAAAAAAATTGAGATTAAAAGTGTAAATTTAAGAAAAAAATTCTCTGAAATTACAGGATGGATAAAGCTGTTGAACAGACACTGTGCATAGGACTTTGACCGTTATTTGAATCTCCAATCAAGGTATCCTGTTATGGTTCAAAAATGGGGGTTTTTTTGTTTTGTTTTTTTTTTGTTTTTAGTACCCCTAACCCTAACCTTAAACCCCAAACCTAACTGGCTTACCCTGATATTCTTACCTGAACCCTAACATTCTTTCTGACCAAGCCTAGCCTAGCCTACAAAACTGACCAAGGCAACAAGTTACAGCCAGTTAGAGGGAGAGTAGGGTGGGCCATGCCCCTGCTATCCTCGGGAAAAAAAAAATGTGGCATCCAGTATGTTACCTGGTCATCAGCTGGATGTCTTACTGGATGTCAAAATGTGACGTTAATAAAAAACTGGCCTGTTCAGTGCATTCGGAAGCTTTATACAGCCTAAAACTAAAATAATGTCAAATGAGTTTCAAAATAATGAGCCAATTTTCACTCACACAACAGCATGTCAAGTCCTGTGCCTGACTTATTCATTCACCACGATTTCCTTGCTGTGTGGATTTTCTCACCTTCAGTCACTAAATTTACCACTTCAGTCTCAGAGACGTTTTTCTATTTACCACTTTAAGCTCAGATGTTCAGAGCTCACAAGGGTTTTTTCTTCATCCCTCTCTCGCCTTATATATATATATGTGTGTGTAAATACATACATATATATATATATATATATATATATATATTTTTTTTTTTTTTAACTTAAAATACACTGTCATTTAGGTGGAGGCCCAGTGCTCTTTAAGGATATAGCTGCTTTGGGTTGTAATACCCTTAAACACTTCTGTTATTTAACGCATGACAGTCTGCACCAAGCTGACAGATAAAACCCTGCGTTCATAAAAAGTACTACTAATTATGAACTTGTCTTATGCTGGAAAATTGCATGCTTGTACTATAAAGTGCAGTTTCACTTTCTAGTTTTATTTTAAAGGACAAGACCAAGGTGACTTTTTATGTCCGTTTTATGTAACACACATTAAAATGATTGCTTGCAAATGTATCTGAACATATAATATGAACAATAACATCCATTTCTGATTATCAAGTACTTATCAGCAAATAAATGTGCTTTTTTTAAAGATATATTTTTTTTTATGTATTTATATTTATATATTTATATTTTTTATACCATTATTGGTAAATGAAATAATTGCTCCTTGTGAAAATGAGTGAGTTAACTGAGTGATCCTTTCAGAGCAAAATTAACATATGTGTTAATACAAGTGCTATAAAGTAATGTTCCAAAAAGAAGTGGATGTCTCCTCTCTTTTCTTTTGTGCTGTTAATTTAAAAGCATGGTGGGCTTCTATATTCAGATTGACAGTGTTCACAGAACAGCAGTATAAAGTTGCCACGTCACATGAGGAGGCTGGTGTGATATATGTGGAATACCTACGCATTAAAGAGTTGAGTTGGGGGTCACATGCTGTCACTCCCCATCCATCAGTTCACTTCCACACGCATAACGGCAGAGGGGAGGGGAGCTTTACAAAAAGGCCAAGGGGGAGCGAGGTTGGCAGGAGGGGAGTCATGTGACCCAGCACATCCAACCACCGCTCGCTGACCTCAGAGATCTGCAGGTGTTGAAGTGGAAGTGATGTGACTTTGTGATGACCTGCAGGCACAAACACAATATGTTATACTCCCTCCCTCCACCCGAGAACACAGGTACTGTATGTACAGTGAAAGCACATATTGAATATACAGTACAAGCATGTAAACTCACATAAGTTCACCGAAGAATCGTTGATATAAAATTAG